GGTTGCTTAGCTTGCACACATGAAAGGCACTTAGAACCTTTGGCTAAAGTGAAACTCGGGATTAAATCCAACTTGGCTAGCCGTGTCATAACACCAAAACTAATGTGACAAAGATGTGAATGCCAAACTTCAGATTCATTAACATTCGAATGAATATGGTTCACGACTTTATTACAAAAATCTGCTAGGGAAAGGCGGAACATCCCTTCGCTCTCATAACCTTTTCCAACAAAGAGTCCATATTTTGTAACAACTAATTTATTAGACTCGAAAACCAACTGAAACCCTTCTCTACATAGAAGGGAGCCACTAACGAGGTTCTTCTTGATGGCGGGGACATGCTGCACGTTCTTCAGCTGCACGATCCTTCCCGAAGTAAACTTCAGATCGACCGTGCCAACACCATGAACAGAAGCACTCGCGCCATTCCCCATCAATACGGACCCGTGACCTGTGACCTGGTAAGAAGTGAACAATGAAATGTCAGCACACACATGAACACCTGCACCTGTGTCCACCCACCAATCGTTGGGTTGAAACACTGAAAAAACAGTAAATAAATTACCGTACCCAGATGCACCATTCTCATTGTTGCCCACAATCATGTTGACAGACTTGGAGTCCTGTCCTGACTTCTTGTACTTGTTTGGGCACTTGTTGGCCCAATGTTCAACCGAACCACAAGTAAAGCAGCCCTCGTCCTTCTTGTTCTTCTTGAAGGTCTTCTTACCCTTCTTCTTAAAGTCGGTATTGTGTTGGACACCGTTCTTTCCCTTGGGCTTGTGGGAGTTGAAGTTCTTCTGGTTCACCATGTTGGCAACAGAAGTCCCTTCGGCCCCTTTTTCGTGCGAGTCTTTTGCCCTCGAATTCTGCTCAACACTCAGATGGCCAATGACATCCTCCACAGAGAATTCACGCCTCTGATGTTTCATAGTGGTGGCAAAGTTCCTCCAGGAATTAGGGAGCTTAGCGATTATGCAGCCCGCGACAAACTTGCCCGGTAACTCGCACTTGAGAAGCTCAAGTTCCTTAACAATGCATATTATCTCATGAGCCTGCTCCAATACAGGACGGTTTTCAACCATCTTGTAATCGTGGAACTGCTCTATAATATACATCTCGCTCCCTGCATCGGCGGCCCCGAATTTAGATTCGAGCGCCTCCCACAAGTCCTTGGCGACATGCACATGTAAATATGCGTCGACCAGTTTATCTCCGATCACGCTAAGAACTGCTCCGAGAAACACAACGGTAGCCTCCTTGAACGCCTTCTCCTGTTCAGGAGCAATCGTTCCCGTGGAGACACCGGTGACCCAGAACACGTTCATAGCCGTGAGCCATAACGTGGTCTTAGTCTGCCAACGCTTGAAGTATGTACCGGTAAACTTATCCGGTTTCAGTGCAGCGGCAAAGCCACTTGCCGAGAAATTCCTACACATAATAGGTTTTTGGATTGTTGAATAAATAGGCAATTTCTCGATTAAATTAATCCATGAGTAAATCACTAGCATGGCATTGACTAAGTTGATGACGTACTGACTCTGATCTAAACATGCACGTACTAAGCAAACCGTAGACAAATCTACACATACTGCTAGTACTGCTAATATGAAAATAATCAGGAGCGGGATAAACGAGTTATACCCTCCAGTAGGCCACGCAGAGGCCGCGGCTTTGGTGGCAGCAGCGGCGTCCTCGGCGACCTTCTTGTCGGCTTCAGCTTTCTCGGCGGCGGCACGGTCGGCGTCGGTGGACATGGTGATGACGAAGGCGACGCGGACGTAGAGGAAGTAGACGATCGGAAGCGAGCAGTCGCGTAATCGTTGCCCAAAAACCTATTCGCCCCTCACCCCGTACAAGAACCAGAAGGGCGTGGTTTCGGAGACCTGCTCTCCCGTCGACCGTGTACGTGGCGGACGGGATGGAGTCACCGGCGGCAGCAGCAGTTAGTGACTGGCAAAAATAAGCGCGTAGGTGTGAGCTCGGCTCGGCTCAATCCCGCAACCCGCGGCGCGGCGCGCGGCGGAGGAGGAGTGCGCGAGGGCCTCTTCTCTTCTCAAGCTCCAATAGCATGTAGAAGAGAAACCCTTATAAACCACTCCAACTCTCCTTCCACTTCCGGGGTGGGACTAAACTTCCCACCACACCTAGTGCCATATAACCCACATGGGCCCTTAGAGATTTTTCAGAAATTGCAATATGGGCCTAGAGCCCATCTCAGATTTCAGCAGGGACAAGCATCCAGAAAAGAAACGAGAGAAAAATAATCGTAGCCTGGGGAAAAGCCCTTCATCCCTCAATCACAAAGAGAAATCCACAAGTTCTTGAGGTAGAGGAATTTGACAGGTAAGATTGGCGTATTGAGCACCTGCATAGATATGTCAAGGTTATGTCATGATTACTGCAATATGATTAATGCATGATGATCAAATCTATTGCTAGCCATCCTTTCAGAGTACTGACGGAAAAAAAAACTTGGGGTTTTTTACCTCCCCGGTCGATCCTAGGCTGAGGGTTTCATGATTTGGCATAATGGACGGAAGCTTGGCACGAGCATAATGAATGACGTTAGATTCGTAAAAATCCAGCATTTGGAGGTCCTTCACTTGCAATACATCTCCAACTGGAACTTTCTCTGGTTGGCTATCGATGCGAACAATCCAAAGATTTGGAGCTTCATTTTCTATCTTTTTTAGAGCTCCGCACTGCAGCACCACCAGGCAGTTGAGCCTGTGTAGCAGGCAAGGTATCTTCAGGTGAATGACGTTACCGCATTTAGTGAGATTCAGCTCCTCCATAGAAAAATAATTAGAAAGTAGGCACCCTAACTCATCTCCTGTAATGTCCACCCTAAACAGATGCAGCCTTGTCAAGCGAGCAAGTCCGGCAACAGGGTGGAAGGCACAACTGGCGAGGTGAAGATGCCGAATCGAGTTTCCACTCCCGTTGGAAAAAACTGAGCAGGGGAAGTTGTAAGGCACCCATTCGTACCCGTTGTGAGGCCCGCATCTGTACTTTCTCCGGTGCTGTCATTTTAGACAAGAATAGAGTCAAACATTTCAAATTTTGACTACTAATATTTCCACAAATAGTTAGATTGAATATTTCAAAAATCATACTATCATATATGTGAACTTATCTCCAAAAATACCTCCACAATATCCAAATTATTTTGGATATAATAAACATAATGCAATGAAAATTGATGGTCAAAGTAGTAGTATTTAGGATGGCATTGATGTCCAGAACAATAGCTTTCAGAAGACCAGAGAAAGTAGTATACCATTGGCACTGAAAGTACGACTTCTTCAATACCCGGAGTAACGGCAATCTGAAGCCACCTGTTCAGATCACGAATGTTGAAACCAGAACCACAGTGATGAAGCTTGAATGTCTTCACACCAATGCCCGAGTGTTTTCTCAAAACGCGGTAAACTCTGTTTTCGAAAGTTCGTGCAAGTTCACGTTTTCGACGTGCATTTCCAGTCAGGCCGAGTGTTTCCCTTGTGAAGATGAGGTTGGGACAGCTTGTCCAGGAACTTAATAACGCGCGAGATACACAACCAGGTCGAGCAGCATCCCGCAGTGGCAGCAAGGAAAGTATATGATCCCATATGTCCTGCATGCACACGAACGGGAGAAAAGTTAACATTGGAATCGTGGAGGCGAGCCGATTCTTCAACTAGGGGAAATAGGACGATATGGAAGTTGACATGACACGCTAGGTGCTCAAACCTTTTTCCCCTTAGAGATTTTCTCGCAAAAACCTAGTTGCAGCAAAAACTTGAACAATCCAGTAATACTTGTGAATCCCAGTTCTAAAACTCTGAAAGTGCTTCTAAGCTAAGCTAGATCATTCAGCTATATGTACCAACCATGTGTGTTTCATAGGCGGACGCACCTTTGGAAGCTCTGGCACTGAATACCTCCTTCTTTTGGCAGCTTGACGAGCATCCTCTTCTTGTCGACCGTCGTCTTCCTCGGCTCCGTCCGGCGTGGCTGCTTGGTGCGCGAGCCTCAGCTCCTTCCGCCTCCACCAACCCTTCCCCGTTCTTCCAGAGCTCCCGCCCCGCCCAAACGCCTTTCGCCGCCTCGATCCTCGCGGCCTATCCCCTCGTGCTTGCGGCGTATTATCCTCTTCCTCCCTGCCGGATTTGCTCGATCCGGAGACCCAAGTCCGAAGGTGCGAATCTCCCGTTCCCTCTGGTGCTTAATTTTGATTGTTCATCAATGTTTTTTACCGCCTGAGAAATATAGATTGAATTGCGTGCCGTGGATTCTTCACCACTGGCAGGTTGATTGTTCATCAACCTGCATTTCGAGCAATGTATATATGTGCTGTGGACTTTTGGGTACATCAATTATACTGTGGCTAGTGGCTAGGTGACTTTGTGGTTGCCAATTGCTACCATAACGTCGTGCAGAAACACATCCGTGGTAGCACAGAGCTCGGTTTTCCGATGGCTGGCTGGCTGCTCGTGCTCGAAATGCTTATGATTTGGGAGGGGTATTCAGCTGTAGCGTATTATGGGACGTTCACACGGATAGCTTGAATTGTGTGTGCAGTTTCTTTAAGTGTGTGTGCTCAGTATGTTCAAACTAGTAGTTTGATACACTCAGATAGATAGGGACCTGTCTTCCTATTGTTCCGTCAGAGCTCAAAAATGGTGATAATTTGCCGATAGTTATGATGGTGTGTTCATTGTGCAATGGTAGGTGGTAGTGGCAGCTAAAGGTGCGGGAGCAGTAGATACTTTCCCAGAACATTGAACGATTCTAGGCTGATGTGGCGCAGCAACATTACAAAGAGTGGTACCACTAATCAGCTTGCCACCCAACAACTGATATTGACTAGCAGGAACTAATGTTCCATCCTTCAAAATGCATTGACATGCTCTGTTAATTCCTACATTGGCATGTAGGATCAAATGTTAGGAGGATATCATGAACAATTAAATCGCAACAGTTGCTAGGATCTGCTGCTGCTTCAGCTGGATCCTTCAAGCAGCAGCAGGCTGGCTCTTCTTCAACTTCTTCTTTTTTTGACGCGGCTTCTTCGACTTCTCAGCACAGAACTTCTTGGTGTCGGCACCCTTCACATTGAATTCCACCAGGAGCTCTTCAAACAGAACCTTCGTGTCAGCCTTGAAGGATGCGGTTCGTCGACCTGCACCTGCACATTTCTTTGGCTTCACTGCGTTGCTGTTGCTGGATCCTTCAGCATTTGCATTTTCCAGCTCCTTGCCCTCATCAGGAACTACGGACCCAACTTCGTTACCTTCCATGTAATATTTGCATGCATTCAGAATGGCATGGCCACGTTCACGAAAGTGGCCAGCAACAAGATCTTCAAAGTGCTGAAACAAGCAAAGCAACAGCCTGTCATAATCATGATCAACTGATAAAAGACTCGACGATTTGGGTTTTTTGAAACAGCCGACCATGCATTTGGTAGTTATCTGAGAAAAATTAAAAACCGGTAGTTTTTTGGAACCCTAGCCTGTAAAGTAGTAGTTTTATGCTATTTACTCTCTGGTATGGGAGCTATGCAATCTAAGCCTCTTAGTCCACTACACCCTACCAAAGATAACAATTAGTACCATATTACAACCAAATAAAGTGCCAGATCGTGGTTGTTGTTCTGTGCAACACTGGGAAAGCTAGATATGAAATCTAGAAACCTTTACCGATCCTAGCAAGATTTCACTGTTATGGCTCCAAAATGTATACTCGTGACTAGTATAAATGACTGTTATATCCAAAACGGTGTTAGTTCCCTTAGCTACCATAAAATTCTCATCCTTCTTACTTGGCGTGGAATTTTTTTTTGTGCGAGAATACTTGGCGTGGATTCAGGATAACACAAAAACAGAGTACAAGCTAATGTCCAGGAGGTGGAAGATCTTCTATCCCATATGAATCCGTCATGGTTCAAATGTGCTCAAGGTTCCCACAGTTAGTGATGTTTTCTCTAGAGAAAAGTCCACCATTCAACTGTGAACTCTGGTAGAAGTCAATTTTTGAACCTGAACTCAAACCATTTGATTCACATCCTCAAACTGTAGAGATGGATGATGCTACATGTGCACCACATCACTGCCATGTCGCAAGTTCTGTTTACTGATCCTTTTCTACCAAAACAATTTCTTCCATTTCGTGCAATTTTTTTTAGTATTTCTTTGTTCCTGGCTGTGATATGGCAGACATGTGGCGTCCATTTGTGAAACCACCCAAGGGCAACAATCGGATGGTTTGAACAATTTGATCTTGCAGTTAAAAGTTGAAAACGCGAACTTCTGGTACAGTTAGCATTGAAAGTTAGATCTGTTCTCTATCCTTCCCTTCTAACAACATCTACATGCACCAAGTTATATTTTGGACGGATCTTCGCAACCATGGGCCACTCGTGTCGGGAACTGCAAGAGCTTGGTAATTACTCCCTCCCTTCCAAATTAGTTGACTCTGATTTGTCTAGATACGGATATATCTAGACATGTTTTAGTGTTAGATACATCCGTATCTAGATAAGTCCAAGTCAACTAATTTGGAACGGAGGGAGTATGTAGTATGTTACCTGTGGAGGCCTACGGAGTGAGTACAACATTGTTCTACACGAGTGCTGAAATGCTGTATCATTATACTCCAAAGACCTCCTCGGTCCATTAGCATCGTTGACTTCGGTCTCGTATCCTGGCTCATTGAAGTATGGCTTTTCATTCAATACGAGACCTTGAATGGAGATCAGCACCTGTAGCATGGTTGAGTGAGCTGAGTTCCAATTCTCACAGCCGTTACCATGCCAGGTTCCCAGGAGGCTAAGGCAGACTGTTCCACAGTCATACAAATTTGGATTGAGCCGAAGTCCTCCAGAATGATAGTATACCACCTGCAAAGGCACCCGAACAGGTAATTAAATCAAATTATGAGAATACATCAAATAAGTTATTAGATGTCAGTACTTACTGGAGGAGTCGCTGGATAGCTAGCAGTGAATTGAGCATCAAAGAAGAAAAGGCCATCATGGTAGGGTGTTCCCTGAGGCCCAATGATCACAGCCCTGAGAAGGTCCATTCGATTTTCCGAAACACGAACATATATGGACGCTGCACACAGAATAATACTTCATGAAAATAGTACATCAATGTGCATTTCTAAACCGTAGTAATTTCAACAGAGGAGATTCAGCAGCCTTTCTAAAACTGTGTAGGTGAAAGTAAATAATAAAACGGTGAGTTTAAAATACACATAAAACCATTGACAATATAGCTTTCTTCAGCAAGACAACATATGCCCAAATTTGCACAAATTTTGAAGCAACACTGAGTAATGGAGAAATGGGTGGCTCAAATCAGATCCTGAGTGTGCTAGAAAATTTGCATCTTTCACTTGAGGAGAGCATTTAAACACATATTTAGAATTCCTATTGGAAATAGCCAACCTGGTAAATTGTTCTCCAGGAGTGATATCCTAAACTACATCCACAGGTCACAGTTAGCCAGCTTTTTAGAAAAGGAGGCATATAGTCGTCCAAGCAATTTGCGAAACAGAGTAGTCATTTTTTTCCAAGAGAGGCGAAACAGAGTATGCGTGGAACTTACATACCTTTGGAAGCTCCGGCACCGAATGTCTCGTCCTTTTGGCAGCTTGAGGATCACCTGAATCACCGTCTTGTTGGGAGCGGGAGCGGGGGCGCTTTCTTTTGGCCATACGACAATAAATTCGCACGGAACGGCCCATTCGCCATGGCCCGTCAAGAGCCCACCCACAGCCATCCGGCGAGAGTCCACCAATCCCCTCCGCCTCTGCCTGCCTGCCTCTGCGGAGCCTGAGCTTCTCCGGCTTCCCCTGCTACCCACGTCCCCGCCGCAGCCCCATCCTCGCATCTCTCCTGCCGCTGCCGGATTCGCTCGATCCGGAGACCCAAGCCTGAAGGTGCGAATCTCTCGGTCCCTCTGGTGTCTAATTTGGGCTGCCCCCAAACAATCTGTACAATACCTTCTATAGTGCACCGGAACTTGATAATACGAAGCCTAGATTGGCCATGGCCTCCGGGTCCGGTGCTGTGTGTCATCTTTTGAGTACTCAGGTGCAGTGTGTCTACTGGCCAGGTGACTTTATCTTCTGTCGATAACAGTTGCCATAACGATGGGCCTACAGGGATCCGTGGTAGCATAGAGCTCGGTTTTCTGGTAACTAGTTGGCTGCTCGTGCCTGAAATGTTCATGATTTTGGAGGGGAATTCCATTGTAGGATCATATTATGGGAAGTCTACAGGTTTAGCTTGTGTGCAGTTTCTTCATAGCCATATTCTAGCATGTTCGAACTAGTAATTTCATATATTCAGATAGACACCTTTCTTCCTGTTATTTTGCTGTCAAAGCTCAAAAAGAGTGATACTACTTTGGTAAAGGTCGATGTAGTCATCAGCCTCTATGCTCTCAATCTCCTGGCAGAGCAATTTCTCATAGCAAAATTGCAAAGTTGTACAATCTGTAGCTATTCTGGGACATGCGTTGGTCTCTCTTCTTAAAACGATGCTACTGTCACATGATGCATATCATGGTTCTCTGACCTTGGATCAACTTACTCTTACTCCGGTGTGTTGTATTACTTTTTATTTGAGCTGAACCAGTGCTCTTATGTTCCATTAATTCTTAGCTGGTCGTCCCAACATGATTTTCAGTTTATACTTGGCACCACTGGAAGCAGATGCTGCTGCGTTACACGCCTGCTATGTGTTTGCAACGCTGCACCTATACCATGTATTCTCAGCCTAGCCAGTTACAAGGAGGATTGTCACAGAGCATGGCCTTATGGAATCACTCTCGCTCACATGCAGTCAGTTATCACACAAAAATGGGTCTAGTTAGTCTTTCTCCTAAGAGCACAAAATCATCTCGTCTGCAAAATGGGACATGCTTTGCCTGCTTGGAGCAACAGTCTAAACGCGGATTATCACCAAGAGATCGTATCCTACATGCTAAGCTTGATATGACCTCACATCACAAGTTTTCTAGTATTAGCTACAAACCGAGAACGACGACAAGTTTAGCACAAAAAATAGGAGGTACAGGCGCTGGACTTTCCTTGAGTTTCGCAGTTTCTGGGATAGCAAATGCTGGCGGTCTGGTGGATAATGACATTGATTCCAAATCATCCTCTAGTTGTGCTCATGGGAAGAAAGTTTACACCGAGTATTCTGTCACCGGTGAGTGTGTGGAACATTTTATTTCTGTATACATTATGCCTATGTGCATGTAGTCACACGAGACCTGCAGGCATTCCTGGGGATGGTAGATGCTTGTTCCGTTCTGTGGCTCATGGTGAGTGCATTAGGTCAGGGAAACCCATACCTAATGAGAATCTTCAAAGAAAGCTCGCTGATGATTTAAGAACACTGGTATGTTTATAATGTATAAAGCCGAGGTCATACTTTTGATGAATATTGTTCTCAACACTGAATTTTTTTCTTGGTTAGTCGTTTCTGAAATTTGTATACAACTTTTCTATTGTTAGGTTGCTGATGAGTTTATCAGGAGACGGACAGAGACTGAACGGTTAGTTCCTTATACTGCTGTTGTTCTTTTTTCACAGCAATGTTGTGCTACACATGCTTACCCTTTGTTGTAACATAAAAAAACTGCAGGTTTATTGAGGGTGATTTCGATACATATGTCTCTCAGATTCGGAAGCCACATGTGTGGGGAGGAGAGCCAGAATTGCTCATGGCTTCTCACGTTCTTCAGTGAGTAATTGGACTATTTTTCTGTTGAGATAGGCATTTTAAAAGACGAGTAGTATTAGCCATGATCTCAGAATATTTACAAACTGTTTGCTATTTAGCTGAAGTATACATCACTGCATGATCCTAATAGAGCACTTGCAACAAGTTGTTTCACTTTTACCTTTGCAAGTCGGTAATACTGATGTAGCATAATACTGATTCTCATTGACCTTGTTTCTTCTTCTAATATTTGGTTTCTTGGTACATACACACCTCAAGGTGCTGCAATTGTGATTTTTCTGTCTTCACTCCATTATTATACAAAAAGATAACAAGGGGAAATGTTCCAATTGTCGCGCCGATGAGAATCTATTACTGTAGTCCAACAAAGATAGCTCTTTTGTAGGTTTAGTTTGAAAACTTTGCCCTTTGCAACATTGAGGTACAAAGGCAGTAAGAATACCATCGTTGTGTTTCAGGATGCCGATCACTGTTTATATGCGCGAAGAAGCAGCAGGTGGTTTGATAGCGATCGCGGAGTATGGCCAGGAGTACGGGAAAGAAGACCCGATCCGAGTCCTCTATCATGGCTGTGGCCATTATGAAGCGCTGCATATACCAGGAAACGCTGAGCCCAGGTCAAGACTGTAACATTTGGAGTTGGAGCTCAGAAACCAGATAGTTGTAGTAAGTTCTTGGCCTATATATACTTTCTCTGTTTCCCCAAATGCATTTTCTGTCAAAGTATAGTCAGCAGAATCATTGAGCTTCTTCCATTTACCTATGTGAATGATTTATCTTGTAGTATCATTTTTTTTAGAGAGAATGTACTCTCTGTCACTTGATCTTCTTGGCAGATAGCAGCGCTTGACAGTTGACAGATTCAGGTAGCCGAGTACCTGAGCGCTGCAAGAAAGTCCAGATCACGCCAGCCCAGCGGATCTCAACAACCCACGGCCGCTTCCTCCGCTGCATGTATCGCATGCAAACGTCCAGATTCAGATTTGTACTTGGCCAAATCTTGTCCATCTATTTCTCTCTTATTAACTTCCTTCTATAAAAACGCACGTACACAATCTGATCGATGAATCAGGCAGATAATTCTGGATCGGAGTAAATCTTTCCTCCCGGCCCGTCCACCACGTCCGCCATGAGCGACGCCTCCGCCGCCGGCCAGGGCGCCCTGGGCGCCTCCTCGTCCGGCGACGCTTCGTCGCCGGCGCCCTTAACCATCCACAACGTGGACATCCTCACCCACGTCCCCGCCAAGCTAGACTTCGACGCCGACAACTACGCCGAGTGGAGGGACGGCATGCTCTCCGCGCTCGCCGAGTTCGGCGCCGTCGACCACGTCGAGGAGGAGCAGGCCCACTCCCTGCACGACGGAGACGAGGAGTGGATGCGTGCCGACGTCACCATCGTCCTCTGGATCTACACCACCATCTCCGACGAGCTGCTGGACGAGGTCATGGCCGCCCACAGCACCGCCTTCGAGGTCTGGGCCCAGCTGCGCGGCTTCTTCGAGGACGAGGGCGCGTTCGACCCCGCCGAGGAGCTCCGCACCGCCGCGCAGGGGGACATGTCTGTCAACGCCTACGGCTGGCGCCTCAAGGCGCTGGCCCGGGCCGTCGCCGACGCCGGTGGTGAGCCCGTCTCCGACACTGCGCTGGCCCTGCAGCTGCTCCGCGGGGTTACCCCCAGGCTCCGAGTCATGGGCACCTCCTTGCTCGTCAATGACCGCTTCCCCAGTTTCATGGAGGCCTTATCGTGACTGGACCTTGAGGAGTATAGACGTGAACAGGGCGAGTTCTGAGGGCTCCGCCTGCCGCGGCGGTGACCATGGTGATCAAGTCCAAGGCGCGCGCTGACGTCTTCCTGTGACTCCCTTCTCGTGTACTAGAGTTGCTCCAGCCAACTAGCAGTATTCAGTGTCAAGTGGATCCATTTGCGCTTCAATGACTGAATTAGGGCTGAAAACGGAGCGGAAATGGATGAAAGTGGTAGCTGTCACATTTATTTTCATATTCTTTTCTAAAAGCGGAAACAAATACAGAAATTCCGGAAACAAATACGAAAATGAATACTATTGAAAACAAACAAATAGACCAGTGCAAATACAACACAGACACAAAGATGGAAGCTAGTGTTCATCGAAACTAATGGACAGTCGAGTCAGTTAATACACTCTATGATAATCCTATATACCTAAATAGTTGATCCTCCTATCTCAATTCTCTCAACACGCACACATATCACCTCATCATATATGCCACCTGATCGCCCTACTAACTGTTTCTCTTAACATGCATGAAGATTGCTATTTATATTCTCTCTCAACATGCACATGTCCCAACTTAAATCATTCTAATTATATTTCTCTCAACATGCATATGAAATACTACTTATATTCTATATATATTTACAACTATATAATAATCGTATAAAGTGTCGCAGGGGTGGAGATACAACGTGCCGTTGCTGGAGGGTTGAGGATGCTGGACCTCGACTCACGCTGGGCTTGGCTTTAGTTTGTGTCGGTGTCTTAGGTGCAGGAGTCTTTGTTCCTTTTGAGTACTGGTTCCCGTGTGCCTCTGGTCACTGCTTCATGTCTGCGTTCCGGATTTATGATGTTTGTGTCATCTTCACCTGGTTTGCTCCAGAGGGGAGATGGCTGGTACTTGTAGTTTGGTAGTTTTTGTTTTTCTTTTGAACTGGTGCCTGTAGCTGGATTATGCTTTGGTTTCCCTTAATGGAAATCAGAAGGGGGAGCCAGTCTTTTGCTAAAAAAACTATATAATAATCGAATACAATATATTATATCTATTTTAATTTGTATTTAAATTTGAGCAAAAAGTATTGCAATCAATCCCGGCAACAACGTATGGGGTATATCATCTAGTTAACATAGAAGTGATTACAGAGGTTCTAACTTTTGTCCATAGCATTTGGAGAAATATGAATTTGATGATTAGGTGAAATTATCACATCCAAGCTCATGCTTTCATAATGACATGGAAATATGCATTAGTGTGAAGCTCCATGAGAATCTAGCATCTCGGGGGCTTTGCTCATCTTGCAAGAAACGTATAAAGGTTCACATGCTTTTCCAGAAGAAACTTGTTTTCTATTTCGCTCTTGCTACTTCTAAGCATGTGTTGGGAGCTGGCACATACCACACATCACCGAACATCTACATTCTCGACTGCGTGATTGTGCGTCTGCCTGGAAGCATTCTCATCTAAGGTATGTGCAAGGACAAGCATTATATGTCTCTTGTTTAATTAGTCTCATATCTTTGGTTGCACTCCTAATCTCTGTGCCGCTGTGCGTCTATCGAATAAACTGATCTCTGTGTATCTGTTTAATTAGTTAACTAGGTTTTTCCGAAATCCTTCATATCTGACATAGGCATCCATTGTCAATTTAATGGACCGAGATAGTAGATCACATGAACAGACAAGCATTCCGTAAGATTAGCACTACTACTGTAATCTTCACTAGCAGCAGATGGATGCGTCAAGGTTTTAGAATTTCAATAGATATAAATTCTAAAAAGAAGATATTCCCTCCATTCAGAATTTATATCTGCATATTTTTTTTCAGAATACAGAACTGGCACATAAAAAAATTACGTACAAACATAATTATGCGGTTATGCCAGACCCTTATAAATCTCTATTGTGTTCTGTACAAAAGTTGGGTATTTGTATCAAATGTTCAATTTTCCGACTCTTTTATGCTTTCAAAGGAAGACAATAACACCGCTTTCAATTAATTAAGGAGTGAAAATGAATTGTGCAACAGGATTATAAGATGGGCAAACCATGAAGACATCGCACAGAGGAGTGTCCCAAGAGCAACAATATTCTCTGTAGGCTCAACGGCCGTCTCAAACACTTCGAGTAGCGAGTGCAGTCTGCATCATTGAAGGAATCAGTTCGCTGAGGCAATATTGCAACGACATCCTCATCAACAATCAACGGCTTGCGGGGCATGTCTCGGACGCCAACGAAGGGCATTGCAAAGCCGAGATCACCCTAACTGCATGAACCTTGCCAGCATACTCTTCGACCATCACCAAAGAAACTACCTCGGGCACAAGAGGTACGCCACCTACAATATCTTTTTAAATAAAGACATGAAAAGGGCATCTTAGGTCCGATTATTAATACTATTGAAGAAAACAAAAATCAATTCAATGGACAGACAACTAGACGTTGAAAGACTAGTAAAAAATAAAATTACATCGAAGGCTTATTCTTCCTCGGTTGTACGCCTCCCGCCAAAGATTGAAAATTGCACTGAACCAATAGTAAAGGAAATGGACACCTGTAAACGCCCTCGCAATACCAGGCTTTGAAGACCGCAATAGCCACTCACACCTTAGGACAAGATTTATAAATTGCTGAAGCAGCATCATGCTAGAGCATCACCCCACGTAGAACAAGCTTGCGGTCCATCGCCATCAGTTCAGAGGGTTGAAGAAAGCGAACCATACCACAAAACAACATGAAAGAAGATGTTGGACTCGCCGCACCAATAGCCAGTCAAATATCTCTCCTTGAAAGACACGCCAACTGCCAAGATCTGAAGGAAATCAACATATATGGGGACACAAATTCTCACAGGCCCTTCGTAGACGTCGGATCAAATGTCATCGAGGGATGAGACTAGAAGACCTTATTCCAACACGCCATCGCCGCCACCACCTCATCGATGTCGCCAAGGAAACAAAAAACTAAGCGGGAAATGAGACGGACGTGTCCCCACACCTATTGCCGTTGACGAGGCCAGCAAACGAGGAAGAGGAGCGGGACAAAGGCGGCGCATGTAGGGAAGTTGTGGTGGTGACGGCTAGGGTTGCGACTCACCACCCCAACAAAGTCTATCCCCACTACGCCACCTACATTTTGAAAGGGAGCCGATCAACCGAGACCTGACCAAGATATAACCACTGAATGCGAGGAGGGAGGTGGGGACACTTGTTTGGTTGGAGACCCGGGGAAAAAATGACCCGCCTGGAAAGCAAACAATGGCCTAGCATGTAGCATCTTGCATGACCACTCCGCAAAAAAAAGCATCTTGCATGATCATTAGCCTGGCTAGAGTGCCTGACACGTTCGTTAGGCTGGCCAGGTGCTGTGATTCGGTAGCATGGCTCATGCTTGATGCTAACAGCACTTTCCCCAGATCACTAATTAAAGAGTACTCTTTGCAAATGTCACTCTTATTTTCTCTGATCGTAGCAAGTGGCGAAGTGCATCTGCACCATTTGTCGTTATTAGACAATTTTGGTGGGTTTCTTACCCGACCGTGAGGGATGTGAGGCCAATTAGGCGTGGCTGATGCAAGAAGACTAGCGAGCTGTCCGTGGTGAGAGAAGTTGTGATGCTAATGCAGGAGGCATCCTGGTGTAGTTGAGGGCGCAAAATTTCTGTGCGGGTACAACTTGCACTTAAAAGACCTTCCGCGTAGATGAGTTCTCTTGAATCGAATTTCTTGGAAGGCTCGTCGGTACCCTTCACGGGAGTTGTGAGTAGAGCTGGGTCATCCTCACCTAGGGCATCATCGTCGTCGAAGTCCTCGGCATTGGTGTTGTCCCTGCCACCGACGTGGTTGTCAACCATGTAAGAAGCAGTTGTCTGCCAAGGCCATGGACGAACCGGGATGGCCTCTGGGCAGCTTTCATTGCTCTCCTCTTCCTCCACATCATGCTCTCCGAGGACGTCGTGAAGCGACTCCACGTTGGCGACGAAATGGGAGGTGGGTGGGTTGATGAAAATCAGCTCCAGCTCATGTGTTTGGCAATGTGCAGGGCTACAGAGGTGAAGCTCTCGGTATGAATCGACAATGAATTCCAGGTTCCCAAAGAAGAGAACCTGGCTTGGATTGTAGGTGTTGACAACTTCGCCTTCTGAATTTGTTATGATGTTCATTGTCCCTAAAGGCGAAGATCTATCGGGGAGCAAAGAGATTGCGGTTGATGTGCGATCTTGTCTGGATCTTGATTAGGGAAAGCACGACACGTGCCTGGTGCACCACCCCCTACCTGGCGTGCCACTGTCGGTGTGAATTCCGGCAATCCCCTCGATAGGGTGCCACATGCCGGAATGCTCAAAGGGGAAACATGAGACAAATTTACCCATGTTCAGGCCCTCTCTCTGGAGGTAAAACCTTACTCCTGCTCTTACTGTATTGATTGGATGGGGTGTACAGAGTACAAGGTAGATCTCAGGGTAATGTGTCTATCGACTAGCCCGACCTCGACTCATAAAGGATGTCGAGGGCCTAGGGTTACAAAGTCCTAGTCGGTTCTAAGAAAGTCGGAGAATTTTCTGGTGACCTGGCCTCCTTCTCTTGCACGGCAAGGATGTCGGTTCCTTCCTTCTAGAGGGCCCATAGACCAGGCTGAGGCCTGGGACCCTATAGCATCGTGGGGGGTCTCAGATCGGCTTGATGGGCCAACTTGCGGTGTCTTGAGGCTCCCCTGGGTTGTAACACCATCAACGAGTTTTTTAGGGCAAAGAGGCCATTGTGCCGATGATCACAGGGATGATGGAGATTATGTGCAGGCTCTAAGGGCTATCTGGAGTGAGTAGTTGACTAATGTGTTTGTCGTCGAGTATGGCATTTTCTGCCTCTCGTTTTTTTACTTTCTTCTTATTCTTTTTTAAGCTCTCTATCTGATGTAAGTTTTCCCTCTACTTAATGAAAATGGCAGAACTCCTGCTGGTTATGGTAAAAAAAATGTTTTCAGCCTCCTGCTTTGTCACTATGATTTTTAGCCTCCTGCTTTGTAAATGACTTTGTATGCACCTAATAAAATACATGCTACATCCATTTTGGGCCATTTCCATTATATCTTCATAATTGTTGTTGCATTCGTATTTACATGGCACTGCCGTAATTTTCTTTGCCTTGGCCTTTTTTTATACTTTTGTTATCAACAGTGTAAAGTATCATGAGTATAAATTGTTTGTCAATTTTTGAAGGGGAGCCTTGGCGCAGTGGTAAAGCTGTTGCCTTGTGACCATGAGATCACGGGTTCAAGTCCTGGAAACGGCCTTTTACAGAAATGTAGGGAAAGGCTGCGTACTATAGATCCAAAGTGGTCTGACCCTGCGCAAGTGGGAGCTACATTCACCGGGCTGCCCTTTTTTTTAAATGATTACACATTTTACTTATTTAATACTTAAACTTATGGTACACACTTAACTAAAGTAAGTTAGAATGTTGGTAGATATTGCAACCTATATTAACTATAGATATGTCCAAAATATCATATTTTCAATGTATGGAATGAGTTATTTTATAGTTACACATTTATTTTTGGATGAGAGTATTGATGCATGCTAACTAGTCCCCCACCCTACTTCCACACAAATCCCAAAGTTCCATACGGTTCTAGCTTTGGGGTGGGCTGGGGTGTATGGATCATGCGGTTTTATTTTCAAGAAGGCACAACATTATATTCTAGCTTATTTTTCGTATTATTATCATATTCTTTTGTTGACAATTTATTCTTACTGCCAAGTTGGTGATACAGGAAATCTGTAAAATAATGGAGAGCATGCTAAAACTATTTAGTGAATGGGAGATTCAGCTGCTTGTGCTTTCCAGCTTCATGCTACAAACATTCCTCTTCTTTACTGGGAGCCTTCGGCTACGTGGCACCAACGGTTTTCTTAGAGGCGCCATTTGGGTAGCTTATTTAGCGGCAGACTTGGTGGCAGTTTTTGCCCTTGGCTTTATGTCACGACAAAGGGAATCCACCACGGAAAGGGGCACAATAAGGGAAACCCACCCGCTGTCCTTCTTGTGGGCGCCTTTTCTCCTCATTCATCTCGGCGGACAAGACACCATCACTGCATTCGCCATAGAGGACAACAGTTTGTGGCTAAGGCAGATGTATAATTTGACAGCCCAAGTGGCCCTGGCCTTGTATGTTTTCTGGAAGTCGACTGGTTTGCGCAACATGCAACTTCTTCTCCCAGGCATCTTTATATTTGTTGCTGGAGTCATCAAGTATGTTGAGAGGACACTGGCTCTCATGTACGGGGATAACAAGGATTCCGATAGGAAAGAAAACAAGTATACAGACACGGCACTAGATCATGAGGATGCTATCTACCCTAGGATTGTTTGTTACGCTTTGGATTGCGCGCCCGTCATCCGACATCTATTCGCTGGGCGCACACTATACCAGATAGAAAAAGACATTGCTCGAGAAGACAAATTTGATGAAGGCCAGGTTGTCAAGTTGATCAACGTTGAACTTGGAATCATGTATTATGATCTATACACTAAGGCTGCAGCACATCACCCACGAACAAAAACATAGTGCAGATATTAGCAGCGTGAGTTGACATCAAAAAATCCAGCCAGGGTGTCATGCCATGCATACTCAGCGGTCAGCAGCTTCTGCCGCCGCATGGACATGAGCCGCTTGAGCGCCAACAGCCCCATGATACCACGGCGACGGGGGCGATACGCCGATACCTCCTGGTCCTGGCCTCCTGGGGTTGGGTCGGCTCGAGAAACCAGGGCCGTCTCTCAGATTTGTTTGCTTTCCAGTTTTTTCTTTTTGAGCATCAGTACAGACACAAGCGCTCATATACACGCGCATACACTCATCCCTATGAACGCACACACGCACACCCTATCTCTATGAGCACCTTCGAGAGACTGAGCCGGCATATCATCTTGAGATTTACGAAGTTACCGTAGACGCCTCGTCGTCGACGGGAACGTCTCCTCCCACTGAAAGCGCATCGCCGGAAATTCTGAAATAAATTCAGGAATAATGTGAGCACCAGAATTTAAAACCCGGGTGGGTTGGAGATACTACTGTCCACCTAACCAACTCAACCACAGGTTGATTCACGTTTGCTTTCCAGTTTTATTTAATCTCACGACCGTCCACTGTCCACGCGAAGAGCAAAACGCGGTGCTAAACCAAAGTCCAAACCCCTACGAAACTCTGTTTACGTTTTTTTTAGCAAAAGCGAAACTCTGTTTGCGTGGTTTTTTTTTTCCAGGGGGTGCATTCGTACATGCGGCTGTATGTATATTGTGGCCCACTATCCTAACAATAATAAAATTCGCACGGTACGGCCCATTCGCGATGGGCCCGTCAAGAGCCCCCGGTCATCGTCGCCTCCTCCATCTCGGCTCCATCCGGCGAGAGTAGACCAATCCCTTCCACCTCTGCCTGCCTCTGCGGAGCCTGAGCTTCTCCGGCTTCCCCTGCTACCCACGTCCCCGCCGCAGCCCCATCCTCGCATCTCCCCTGCCGCTGCCGGATTCGCTCGCTCCGTTCCGAAGGTGCGAATCTGCCGGTCCCTCCGCTGTCTAATTCGTGCTTGAAATGTTCATGATATGGGAGGGGAATGCAGTTGTAGTACCATATTCTGGGAAGCTCACATGTTTAGCTTGAATTGTGAATGCGGTTTCTCTAGAGCATATTCTGGCAAGTGTGTCCTCACTATGTTCGAACTAGTAATTTCATATATTCACACAGGGACCTTTCTTTGTTTTCTCAGAGTTCAAAAGAGTGATAATTCACTAGAGGTCGATGTAGTCATTAGCCTCTATGCTTGCAATCTCCTGGTTGAGTTTTTTTTACACCAACATTGCAAATCCTTTAGTAGCACTTCTGAATCATGCACTGGTCTTCTCAAAATGATGCTACCGTCACATGATGCATAACATTATTTTCAGGCCTAGGGTCATCTACTTCACTTCAGTGTGCTATCTTGTTTTTATTTGAGATGAAATCAATCGTCCGATGTTCCACTAATTCTTACCTAGTCCTCTGACCATGTTTTTCAGTTTATACTTGGTGCTACTGGAAGCAGATGCTGCTGCATTACACGCCTGCTATATGTTTGCAACGCTGCACTTATACCATGTGTTCTGAGCCTAGTCAGTTACGCACACGGAGGATTGTCACAGAGCATGTCCTTATGGAAGCATTCTCGCTCACATGCAGTCAGTTATCAAACAAAAATGGGTTTAGTTAGCTTTTCTCCCAAGAACAGAACATCTTCTTGTCTGCAAAATGCGACATGCTTTGCCTGCTTCCAGCGACGGTCTCGAGGTGGATTATCAGCGAGAGGTCATATCCTAAATGCTAAGACTAATATGACCTCACATCACAAGTTTTCTAGTATCAGCTGGAAGTCGAGAACGACGACAAGTTTAGCACAAAAAATAGGAGGTACAGGCGCTGGGCTTTCCTTGAGTTTCGCAGTTTCTGGGATAGCAAATGTTGTTGGTCCGGTGGATGATGGCATCGATACCACCCACACTTCTGAATCATCCACTAGCTATGCTCATGGGAAGAAAGTTTACACAGAGTATTCTGTCACCGGCGAGTGTGTGGAACATTTTCTTTCTATATACATTATTATGCTTTGTATGTATGTAGTCAAAGCATAACATTGTCCGGACGTTTGTGACTGTCTCACACGAGACCCGCAGGCATTCCTGGGGATGGTAGATGCTCGTTCCGTTCTGTGGCTCATGGTGAGTGCGTTAGGTCAGGGAAACCCATACTTAATGAGAATCTTCAGAGAAAACTCGCTGATGATTTAAGAGCATTGTTATGTTTGTAATGTAAAACCGAGGTCATGATTTTGATGAATGTTGTTCTGAACACTGAAGATTTTTTTCTTGGTTAGTCCTGTCTGAAATTTGTGCATAACTTTTCTATTGTTAGGTTGCTGCTGAGTTTATCAAGAGACGGACAGACTGAATGGTTAGTTCCTTATCCCGCTGTTGTTCTTTCTTCACAGCAATGTTGTGCTACACATGCTTACCCTTTGTTGTAACATCAATTTGCAGGTTTATTAAGGGCGATTTCGATACATATGTCTCTCAGATTAGGAAGCCACATGTGTGGGGACGTGAGCCAGAATTGCTCATGGCTTCTCACATTCTTCGGTGAGTAATTGGGCTATTTTTCTCTTGCAACAGGCATTTTAAAGGATCCTAGTATAGTAGTATTAGCCATATTCTCAGAATATTTTTGAATTGTTTGCCATTTAACTGAAGTATAGAGCACTTGCAATAAGTTGTTGCAGTTTTAACTTTTATCAGTAATTCTCATTTGGTATAATTTTCTTGACCTTGTTTCTTCTTGTAATAATATTTTGTTTCCTTGATATGCACTCCAAGATGTTGTGACTCTGGTTTTGTGTCTTCACTCCATTATGCAAAAAATAAAAAGCAAAAAAACAAGGGGAAATTCTATCACATCAACGAGCATCTATTACTTCGTCCAAAGGACATAGCTAGTGGGCATTGTATTTTGTAGGTTTGAGTTTACAAATTCGGCTCTTCTTTGCCACAATGAAGTAGTACCAGAGCAGTAAGAATAAACACCATTTTGTTTTCAGGATGCCGATCACCGTTTACATGCGTGAAGAAGCAGCGGGTGGTTTGATAGCGATCGCGGAGTATGGCCAGGAGTACGGGAAAGAAAACCCAATCCGAGTCCTCTATCATGGCTGTGGCCATTATGAAGCGCTGCAGATACCGGGAAACGCTAAACTCAGGTCAAGACTGTAGCATTTGGAGCTCAGAAACCAGATAGTGGCAAGTTCCTGGCCTATGTATACTTTCTCTACTTCCCAAATGCATTTATTTTCGAGGACCCAAATGCATTTTCTGACAAAGTATAGTTGGAATCATTGAGCTTCTCCCATTTACCAATCTGAAGTAGTTGAAAATATGAGCACTTTTTTGACTAATCTAATCCACGAGTAAGCAGTAAACATGACAAATACGGCATGCATCTCATACCGATACCTAAGCATGTGAGCACTTCCGTAAGCGACTCGTTAATTAACCATTCCTGACCGGCAAAAATAAGCTTCGGCTCGGCTCATTCCCGCAACCCGCGGCGTGCGTGCTCATCGTGACGAGGCGAGGCGGGCGGCGGAGGAGGAGCGTGTGTGTATAGCTCATATGCCTAAGCTCCCAATGCAAGTGGTAGAGCGGCCCTTATAAAGAGGTGTCATTCTTCTTAGTATAGCAGTATGGTACTAAACTTCCCATCACTTGTCGTGCACATTCATGGGCTTTGAGATTAACCAGGGATTATTGTCTTATATGAGCCTAAGCCCATCCATAATCCATCAACCCCCACCAGATCTCGAGGCACATAAGTTTGTCAATTGTTTCAAACAATGTTTGATATACCAGGATTTCCAGTGGAGACTGTTAAGTTGAACATTCACCTAGAGCAATAGGATTAGACTTCTTCACAACTGAACAATGGACTATGCCTTGAATTGTCAGTTTGGCGTGCAGAAGTTTCGTCTATTGTCAGCTGATACATGGCTGTCGAAGGCTAAACCCCCACAGGTGGAGCTTATTAGTCATAGTCCTTACCTTCTCATGAGCTTCCTACAGATCACCCAATCTCATAGATTATGGCCAGCAGTCGGGCTCACTGTCGGCGTTCTGGGAACGGGGGTCCCCAGACTTGCCTGCTTGCAGCCTGTGACGTGGCTCAAGTGGGGGCCCAGCGCGGCCCATCTTCATCAGCTCAAGCTCAAGACCCTCGCGAGGGGCCAAGCCTCGCGGGGCGGACGACCGGAAGCTTCCTCAGAGGCAGCCTCATCAGGCAGGCTCGCGAGGAGGCGGAGAGATCAAGGCAAGGGTACCTCGCGAGGAGCCCGTGACGCAAGTCATGACGATCGAGACCAGGCGGGCGCCGGCCTGCACAGTGTCCTTGTTTCCCCTTTGATGCAAAGGGGGCAAGCACAGGCCAAGGCATCGGGCAAAGGTTACCATTCTGGTGCAACGAGACCAAGACCAGCAGAGCGGCAGGACGAAGGTCACCGTGGAGCCCAAGACGGCGTCATCACCAGTGCTTTTGGCAGCTGAAGACCACCTTTGGTCAGGATAACTTGTACTAGATGTTCCCCTTCAAAATGGCCAATTGTTGGCGCCCTTCCCGCTCATTATTTGGGGAGAGGCACAGGGCCTCTATAAATAGAGCTAGCCACCATAGAGTAGAGGGGGAGCGAGAGATCTGGTAGAACCCTAGCAGAGAGAGAAGAAGGGACCGAAAAAGAGAGATAGAGAGAGAGAGAGGCGATTGAACTCACCCAAGCAGTTCATCGCGCCAGTTCAAGAACACCTCTCGCGAGGCTGTTCTTCCCTTGTACTGTTCATCATCAGCCCCCGAGGCAATCCACCACACCACACACTGGAGTAGGGTATTACACCACAACGGTGGCCCGAACCAGTATAAACCTTGTGTCCCTTGTGTTGTTCGTTGTTTCCAGCTAGATCACGCGAGGAGATTGGACGTAGATCGGTAGGGGAGAGATCTCCACGCGCACCCCAGTGTTCGAACCTCAAGGGTCTGCCGGAACCCGAAATCCGACATTTGGCGCACCAGGTAGGGGTGCGCTGGAATCCTTCTTCCTCCGCATCACGTTCCGTCGCCTCGCCGTTCAGATGTCAAGTGACCCGGCAACCAACGCCGACCGCTGGGCAGCGTGGCCCGCCCACGCCGTGGCACCAGCCCAGGGCGACCTCAACCTTGCGCCTCAGGCAGCCCGCGCTCCACAGGGCGCTGCGGCCAGACGCCGCCTTCCCTCACACCACGGCAGGTGCGGACTGCAGCAAGGGCCTCAGACCACGCCGCGGCCACAGCGCCGTACACCCGACGGGAGCAAGCGAACTCCAGGGCCGCGCTCACGGTGGCCCGAGAGCTGCTACGGTACCGACTGCTGGAGGGCGGCTGCGACGTGTTGTTGGAGCGAGTATCTGAGCTCCTGGACGCCGCCGCCTCAGGAACACCTCCTTTCTGCGTCCAGCTGCCACCCCAGACCCAAGGCGGGCCGCATGGTGGCATCGTGCGCGCGCACGCGACTTCCAGTGGACTCCAGGGCCCGTCCAGCGCCAACACCTCTGCCGGCACCGGGCGACAAGTCACGCCAGCCCCCTCTCAGGCCAGCGAAGGGGTGCACGCCGCGACCTTCGGCCTCGGCGGACCGGCGCGCCATCACCCCCAAGACGGCGCTCCATCACCCCCAAGACGGCGCTCCAAGCTAGGCTGCATGGCATACAGGGTGCTATGGCGAGGCACACGAGTTGGTGGCCCCAAAAACTTATGTGCCCCGCATGGTGGATCAGGGGTGCGCGCTGGAAGAAGATCATGGCTCATTCCTCGGGCCAGGCTGGGGCGACGAGACGCCAGAAGCTGAGCTCTTTCGGGAACCCCAGGAGAGCCTCGACAACCACACCGGCGGCGGCAACTATCGGGTATCACTCATCCCTCGGGAGCAAGCTTATGCTAACCATGGGTCGCAGGAGATACAGGTCTCCACAGCAGGTGGCTGCCCCAATTCTGCAGCCTCATACCCCTCAGGAGGAGGGCGCAGGGGGTTGCTGATACGTCTCCAACGCATCTATAATTTTTGATTGCTCCATGCTATATTATCTACTGTTTTGGGCAATATTGGGCTTTATTATCCACTTTTATATTACTTTTGGGACTAACCTATTAACCGGAGGCCCAGCCCAGATTTGCTGTTTTATGCATATTTCAGTGTTTTGAAGAAAAGCAATATCAAACAGAGTCAAAACGGAACAAAATCAACTGGAGAAGTTATTTTTGGAACGAAAGCCACCGGATAGACTTGGACTCCACGTCAGGAGATACGGGAGGTGCTCACGAGGGTGGGGCGCGCCCCCCTAGGGCGCGCCCTGCCTCGTGGGGCCCCCGTAGCTCCTCCGACGTACCCCCTGCACCCATATATACCTACGTATCGTAAAACTTCCAGAAAACAATAGATCAGGAGTTTCGCCGCCAGAAGCCTCCGTAGCCATCGAAAACCAATCTAGACCCGTTCCGGCACCCTGCCGGAGGGGGCAATCCTTCTCCGGTGGCCATCTTCATCATCCCGGTGCTCTCCATGATGAGGAGGGAGTAGTTCTCCCTCGGGGTTGAGGGTATGTACCAGTAGCTATATGTTTGATCTCTCTCTCTCTCGTGTTCTTGAGGTGATACGATCTTGATGTATCGCGAGCTTTGCTATTATAGTTGGATCTTATGTTTCTTCCCCCTCTTCTCTCTTGTAATGAATTGAGTTTTCCCCTTGAACTAATCTTATCGGATTGAGTCTTTAAAGACTTGAGAACACTTGATGCATGTCTTGCCGTGGATATATGTGGTGACAATGGGATACCACGTGCCACTTGATGTATGTGTTGGTGACCAACTTGCGGGTTTCGTGACATTGGGAACCTATGCATAGGGGTTGGCACACGTTTTCGTCGTGATTCTCCGGTAGAACTTTGGGGCACTCTTTGAGGTCCTTTGTGTTGGTTGAATAGATGAATCTGAGATTGTGTGATGCATATCGTATAATCATACCCACAGATACTTGAGGTGACATTGGAGTATCTAGGTGACATTAGGATTTTGATTGATTTGTGTCTTAAGGTGTTATTCTAGTACGAACTCTAGGGCTGTTTGTGACACTTATAGGAATAGCCCAACGGATTGATTGGAAAGAATAACTTTGAGGTGGTTTCGTACCCTACCATAATCTCTTCGTTCGTTCTTCGCTATTAGTGACTTTGGAGTGACTCTTTGTTGCATGTTGAGGGATAGTTATATGATCCAATCATGTTATTATTGTTGAGAGGACTTACACTAGCGAAAGTATGAACCCTAGGCCTTGTTTACCATCATTGCAATACCGTTTACGCTCACTTTTATCACTTGCTACC